CCCCCCCCCCCAAGTAATCCTGGATCCGCCCCTGAACACCTCTGTAGGTGACAGAAAGGTATGGTACCTGCGGGCGTCGCCATGAAAAAAAAGTGTAAAATTGTAAAACTAATGTTTTCCAGCTGGGTTGACGTTGAAGTACACCGAAAGTAACATAAACGGAAGATTATTCGTCCGTAGGTTTATGTCTCAAAAATGTGTTTTCAGTTGTTTTAAATCACAATGGGGTGGGAGGGGGGGCAATCATAGGGTCACATGCCCGTCCCTCCCCTTTGCTTTTGATACTCCCCCCCAAAAGAATTATATATATATATATATATATATATATATATATATATATATATATATATCAAATAACATACACCCAAGTCAAGACGGAACTCCTTACAAACAACCATTGTCCCGCCAGACCAAAAGTCGGGGTCTAAGGACTCATTCCCAATGAAAATATTGTTCTACGTATATCGATCCAACTCTGCGGGGACTCTCGCTTAATGCAATCAGATAAACAGATTAACATGTGTCGAGTAGAATACAGAAACACTGGTAATAATGCGAGTTCTTTGGAAACAAGAGGGGGCGTGTTAATTGTTTAATCTGAACACATTCAGCAAGAGTTCCCGCTGAGTTTAATCCATCTGCGTAGAACGATAGTCTCATTGGGAGTCGGCATCTAACCCAAGTGGCTAATTCTAGTATTCAGACGCAAAGCCACTGCGCCATCGACCCGAAAAAATTCTGCTGGTACTGTATTATTGTGCCGTGAAGCAAAGATTGTTCTGTCGGTATGTGAGAGGTGGACGAAAATGCAGCAACTGAAAATTTTGCATAACCAACTGACAGTATCGGACACTCTGCTCGACTTTGCCCACTGTCCACAGACTTATATTCACAATGATTTAGGGGTAAGTGAAGAGAAAGAACAAAATATACTATTTATTAATATATTAATGAACTCCAAATATTTGCTGTAGGATACTATTTGGTGAAATAAAAGAAACTCAAATAAGTGTCGGTGACTATGTCCGGCGACAAATTATGTTCATTCCCCCTCCTTTTTTTTTTTTTTTTTTTTTACACCATTATCAAACAAGTTCTAACAAAGTTTTTCTTTTTTTTTCAAATATTCGTTTAAATAAAATTTAATTTTGGTATAAACTGCATTCTTAGCTAAGCCGTGACTTGTCTGTATCCTGTCAGGATATGGCTGGTTTCGTTCAGTAATTCCTCAAACTCTGGGTATGATAATTATCCATAACTCACAAGTCATAATTATAAAACAGACCAGACTGTACCTATGACGTCACTACTTTCAGCTGGACTGGTGTTGGTTTTCAGTCGCAGAGTTAACCACACGTTAAAGCAGACGAACGCCGTGACCATCAGCACGAGAAGTTGACCCCATCTCTGACGACCTCTCATCACAGCACGTCTCTGTTTCATCCAGTACCGGTATATATATATATATATATATATATCTGGTGCGATGCCTGCACGGTCTACTCTGAGGGGAAGGTAGCTGGCACTATACACATGTACATGGAAAACTCAAACTGTATATACCAACAACAATAATCAATAAAAACACCTGAAAAGAGAATCGGAATAATTATGTAAAGAGGGGAGCTTATAACACGAACACGTGTAGAGATTGAGTGTAGAGATTGATTGAGTAATTATTTATATAATCTGAGAACCTGAATTTAAAATAAAAGTTTTTTATCTATCTTTAACGTCTCTTTTGGCTGAGAGAGAGAGAGAGAGAGAGAGAGAGAGAGAGAGAGAGGGTAAGACACAGTACCTGTTACCTTCTATTCCATCTGGAGATTATATAAATCTTGACCGAAAACGCAAGCACGGATTTTGTCAAGCAGAATCTGCCCTTAAAGCAGCATCATTACTCATCATTACATCTTTCACCATGGACTCTCGCTGAATACAATCAAACTAAAATGGTGCACGTGCATCATTCTCAACATGTCTTCTTTTGATTTCTATTTACCTAAATTGCTCCGGAAATAAGTCACATGCTCATGTNGATTGTCAACGAGAGCTGCAATTTTGGTGAATCCCACGGCAACACACCGAGGCATAACGAAAATTCCTCAACTCCGTTCAACACAACTTTCATTAACTTCTCCGTCTGTGTGCACCTTGGAGCTCAGTTGAGTCTCATAGACCTTTATCGTGATTGTCGTCACAGTACCACGTGACCCAGATCTGTTGCTTCATTTTTGCATATTGAGGTGAGGTTTACTAAAACGCTTTTTTTCTACTAATAGATTGTTTTTATAATTTTTAAATGGCGGGGATCGATTAAAACATACCTCTAGTGTATAGATTGAGTGCTGTATCTTCAAAATTCGAGAAATGGATTTTTACATGAACATTGTCCTTTAATGAACTCCAGATATTTGCTGTAGGATATTATTATTATTATTATTATTATTTTGTAAACCATTATCAAACAAGTTCTAACAAAGTTTTTCTTTATTTTCAAATATTCGTTTAAATAAAATTTAATTTTGGTATAAACTACATTCTTAGCTAAGCCGTGACTTGTCTGTATCCTGTCAAGATATGGCTGGTTTCGTTCAGTAATTCCTCAAACTATGGGTATGATAATTATCCATAACTCACAAGTCATAATTATAAAACAGACCAGACTGTACCTATGACGTCACTACTTTCAGCTGGACTGGTGTTGGTCTTCAGTCGCAGAGTTAACCACACGTTAAAGCAGACGAACGCCGTGACCATCAGCACGAGAAGTTGACCCCATCTCTGAAGACCTCTCATCACAGCACGTCTCTGTTTCATCCAGTACCGGTATATATATATATATATATATATTTGGTGCGATGCCTGAACAGTCTACTCTGAGGGGAAGGTAGCTGGCACACATGTACATGGAAAACTCAAACTGTATATACCAACAACAATAATCAATAAAAACACCTGAAAAGAGAATCAGAATAATTATGTAAAGAGGGGAGACACGAACACGTGTAGAGATTGAGTGTGTCAGTTAATTATTTATATAATCTGAGAACCTGAATTCAAAATAAAAGTTTTTTATCTATCTTTAACGTCTCTTTTGGCTGAGAGAGAGAGAGAGAGAGAGAGAGAGAGAAAGAGAGAGAGAGGATAAGACACAGTACCTGTTACCTTCTATTCCATCTGGAGATTATATAAATCTTGACCGAAAACGCAAGCACGGATTTTGTCAAGCAGAATCTGCCCTTAAAGCAGCATCATTACTCATCATTACATCTTTCACCATGGACTCTCGCTGAATACAATCAAACTAAAATGGTGCACGTGCATCATTCTCAACATGTCTTCTTTTGATTTCTATTTACCTAAATTGTTCCGGAAATAAGTCACATGCTCATGTTAGTTCTTTGAATTAAACATAAATTTGAACTTAATTCTTTTTAAAAAACCATCATTTAAACATTAAATGACATTATGTGCAGATGTGAAAAGAAAGTGAATGATTTATTGTCTATTTACACTTCAAAATGACTTGTACGTATTCTAGCGTGACCAACAATGCACGTAGACAAGTACAGCGCGACGTAGTTGCGGGAGCGGATGATGGGGGGGGGGGGGGGGGGGGGGGAGGTGTATCATATTAATTTATTATGAACTGTAATTTGGCAGGTCTCAGGACTGGTGTTGCTCAGTAGTATAAATAACTTTACTTGCTTTATTGATCTAGTAACAAGTTCAATGATTGATGGTATCTTCAGATTGATATATTTAGACGTGCTGTATTGATGAAAAGCATGAGAATGTATCATTTCTGAATGAATGTTAACGAACAAAACAAAAATTTTAGACAAAATATTTTTTCTCACACAAGCAAAGAGCACAAATCCTGACTTATAACGCGGAAAAATTTTAACCCCCCCCCCCCGAAAAAAAAAAACAATCATGAAATGTTTCTTTAATGAAAGGTTAAGTTTACCATCAATAGATAAGTTTTTTTTGCTCGTGTTACTTTAATTTTAATTTAACGAACACAAGCCGTAAAATAATACGACAAAACGTGCTAATGTGAATGAATTGCAACATCGAATTATCAAGAAAAGGAAAATATCAAATATAGTCAAAATTTGAAAACACTACACGACTGATTAATCCTGAAAATCTTGAGAATAAGGTGCCCTTTGCTACTAAATTGAGATTCTAGCTAAAAATACTGTGTAAACATGAGGTCAAAAGCAAATTGAGGAAATAATACTATAAGTCAGTATCATATTATTAAGCAGGTCTAATTGCAAAATTATAATTTAATTTCATGATAATTAAATTTCGATTTCATTCATCTATCACCAAAAAAGTCTGCACCGAATTTAGCGAATTTCATGATGATGCATTAAATAAAGTGCAGAGGAAGTACACATCGACTTTAACGTGTATTTTCTTTTACGGTCTTTCTTTTTTGCGCTCCCCTTTCTTTGCGCGTATTTGGGAAATGCAAACCTTCAGAATACTGAACCTTCGTAATAGTGAACCTTCATTATAAAGAAGTGCACCCATCTAGGGTTCGATATTACAAGAGTCCGCTATTTTGAAATCAAAGGGTTCGCTACCCCTAAGGGTTCTCTTATACAGATTCGATATTCCGAAAAGGTATAGTGATGCGATAGAGCTAGCTGCGCTTTGCGAATTGCATTAGTTGCTTCACCAAGAACACTGACCCGACAAAACGTTAAAAAAGATGCTCCTCTACCATATATACTTATTTTTTTTGCATATATTTATGTGTATTGTATTACGAATTTCATGTACCCAAACTTTGCTATCGTATTTAGAGGGAGCCATCTTTATTTGATTTGATGTTTACGTAGGAAGCTGCTTATTTTTACAATTTAGGGCAACCCATTTTTATTGTCAGCAAATGCATGTTGTGAGTTTTTTGGTCGATTCAGTGGGGTATTATAATTTGAAATCCCTACAATTTTAATGCGGTCGACAGTTTTACATGAACTTGTAATATTTTGGCCGTTAATTTGACCTATTTATCTGATCTACTTATCTGCCCCATTTGTAAACAGCACAGAATATAAGCAGAAAAATACGCTCAGGCATCATNGTGAAAGACAAAAGAGGCATGCGAAGACTAAATCGCGAAAACGTAGACATCACCAAAGGAAAGAAGAGCTCATAGCTCCTATGGAAGTTGCCGAGGCAAGTCCACAGCAATCACCACTTGTTGTGTGTGCAAAGTGGTCACAACGTGGAAACGATTGAGAAGAAACTGAAGGCAGTCACAATGAACAATTAAAGAACTACAATCACAGGATCATGCCATAAGCAAGAGGGAGAATGCTATCCGGCAACGATTTAGCCATTGCAGAAGACGAAATATGGAACCACCTGAATTTCCCACATGCCCCAAAATTAAGACAGAACGCATCATACAGCAGGCTATGCACCCAAGCTAACACTGTGCAGAAACAATTACTTTTATGTCTCCTCCATCCCAGTGTACCACAAACTTTCATAGTCTTATTTATAACAAAAAGAAGGCAACAAAGAATATCGATTGTTCAAGAATTGGTCAAACAAGGCGGCTTTTATTTTATAACCCCACTAGCCTAACTATTTTAGCAATAATAACAATGTAGCAAATTGTTGCCTTTATCCTTAGGGATAAAAATAATATTATATATACATATAATATTCAATACGATTAATCATCCTAAAAATATGATGACTTATAGAAAATGTTTTTTTGGCTACAGTGGGTCAAGTTTAACGAGTTACACCAAGAAGTAAGATGAAAATTGTGCATAATATAGTGGCTGAGAAGATTGACGTACCGTTGTCTCAGATTTCTTTCCGCTGCTACTGGCATTTGCCGGAATCGGTCGAGAACTCGCGAAAAGGGGATGAACTGGTCGAAAGGTCGACGGATGGGAGTAGCAGGAATAAAAGGCAAGCTGTAAACGGTTTTTTGAACGAGACGACTATAGTAGAGCCCAAGAGCGCCAGTAACCAAAATAAAAAATTCATCGAGCACGTTGGAAGAGTAAAAACACAATATGAACATCTAAGAAATCTCAAGGAAACTTTTACAAGAAATCATGCAGCCTATAATTTGTCTTAAATAGCGACTGATAAGGACAGTAGAGACCCTTGAACTCTAAAGTGATATCTGTTTCTTATACTCACTCAATGGAAAGACTTAAAAACGCAATTTTGTGAGCCACTTACTTTTTACAGATGGAACAAACATTACATATATACATTTTTTTAATTCCCAAAAGTGCCGAAATCCGCAAGACAATTTAGACCTTTCAGGGAGGATAGTAAAGCTCATTTTGAACGAATTCTCTGCTGTATTGGAAAACCTATAGGTGTGTTGAAAAAGGTTTCGTTTAAAGAGGTGGTAGGTTAGATCTGCATTTCTTTACATGCAAATGATTAAGACGTTTGATACGCGGATCGTGTTTGTGTAATAGGTTATCACTTTTGATGTCTGAGTTACTATTAAACACCTCAATAAATTCTACGAAAAAAAAAGCGAAAAAATATCTTATCAATATTTATTAAACTCGTGTCCCGTATCTTTTCTATGGCTGTGGAACATACGTTACATTACGGTATGCGAAGGATGCGAGGCGTAGTTGGTATTGTAACTGATACACCCAAAATTTGAAACTGTCAATGAGTTTTAAATTCACGACGAATATGACCAGTGGTAGATAACTTTTAGGTAACAAAGTTTTCAATTCTCTATACAATTGACAATTACTGCTATTGAAAGAGTCATCAACGTGGACATTGTAAAGAAAAATAATCTTTAGTTTGGAAGTAATTTTCCTAGATCTGGTCAATTTAAATGTATTTTCCTATCACTTTTCCATTATTAATGACTCATAGGGTTCTGATAGTGTTTTAGCTTGCACAAATTTCCACAGCGCTCAACTAATGATCGTGTTTATATCAGGCGATTCCGTGGTAACGTATATTCTTTC